GCTCCCAGAGTTAAATTCTTAGTTTCCAAGCCTCAGCTCCAGAGACTGATTCATTCAGGGGATACATATCACCCATCCATCTGTCTCCAGAGCTTGTGAGTTCTCCGTACAAGTTTATTCCTTGGCAAAAAGATTTTCTTTTTGAAATCTAGGTCAAACAGACTCTTTACATGAGCTAGCCAAAATACTTGTTTTCTTGCTTTTAACTCTTTAAAAAAATATTATTGCTGTACAACTCCAATTTTTATGTGTTAATTATTGTATTCTTTTTGGGATCTTTATTTGCTGTGGTGAAATAGACCAAGAGAGAAAGTGTCAGAAGCCTTGGTCATGCAGGCACGAGCTTCACCTAGCTCCCTCCTTCCTGATGTAGCCAGGGTTGGCTTTTGCTGTTCTCCTGTGCTGAGGCCAGAGTTGGCTTGCTGCATCAACTGAGTTGTAATATGACATCATCACACTGGGAGAAGCTGACTTGGTGGATGTGGTCTTTGTGTAGGAGGTGCTTTGTTGAGAGCAGACATCAGATTTTCCTTTCTTCCCAGGGTTATTTATTTTCTCTGATTCTTTCACAATATGAGAGGCAGGATCTCAAAATTAGATCTTCTTCCCTCTATAGCTGCTCACAGGGCTGACAACAAATCCTTTATTTTTGAGTTTCCTCCACAGATTCCAAAATATCAATTTTCTCTTTGCAGTTCACAGGATTATTAACAGTTTTTACCCATGCAATATTTGAAGCCAACACAGTATTTTAATTGTCATATACCCCTCAGTAATGGATGATGGTTTTGAAAAAGTTTGTTTTCAGGAGGTTAATGTTGTACATGATTTGAGGGCAGAGAATAATCTCCAGACTCTGCTTTTAAAAATCTTTGTGCCTTCTTTTTTCTTCCTTAGGCACAGTCATCACCATATTTTTAACAAGTATTCTGGTTTACATCTGGGATGTCTCCAAAATCTCACATGTTGAAACATGGCCCCCAGTTGTGGCAAGGTGGAGAGATGGGCTTTTAGACTATGATTGGATCTTGAGGGCTCTGACTTCTGTGGACTAGTCCAGTAACAACTGAATGGATGATTGGAAGGGAACTAGTTGGAGGATGTGGGTCACTGGAGCAGCCCTGAACAGGATCATCTTCTCCCAGCACCTTCCTCCTTCTCTGCTTCCTGGCTTCCATGAGCTGAAGAGCTTTTCATGCTCTTCTTCCCTGATGTTTCTGTTTTGGAGTGAGACTACCATGGCCCGAGTGCCCTAAAACTGTGAGCTGAAATAAATGTTTCCTCTTCTAAGTTGTGACTTTTAGCTATTTATGTCAGAAATGAAATGCTCACTACAACAGAAAACCTACTAGTTGGAATGTCCTTATCCAGTGTCCTATTTTTTCCCTGGTGCTGAATTTAAGAACTTCCTGGTGATGACACTTGGTACCCACAGGGGTATTTCACTAAGATTGTCTGTAGACCATCAGCCTCCTGATCATCTCTTCCTAGAGGACAGGCTGAGGATTGGGGTGGAGACTTGGGGGAAAACTGGCTGGTCTGGGGCTTAGAGGCATCTCCTTTATCCATTTTTATTTACATCATAACCCCTTGGAACATGAATATTTTTTCCTGTAACTTCCATTACATGCAGATTTTTGTTGGCCTACAAATTGGATCATGGTGTTGAGGGGGAAATACAGAATTCCTTCTCCTCTCTGCATTTTCTCTGAGTTGTGAATACAAGGAGAGTATCCCAAAGTTCAAGGAAAACCCACACCCTTCAAGTGTACAAGAATCCACACTGTACTTCAGTAAGAATGGGGTGGGAAAAGGTCCAAGGTGTCAGGATGCCTTGACTTTAACCTTGGGTCTGACCTGTCTATTTTACAGTCCACTCTGCTCTTCCTGGGCTTGTCACCTTGAAAAGATTTCTTTACTTACTTCAGCTTCAACTTTTCCCTAACTGTAAAATGTGTTTTACTAGTAAAGCTTCAAACATAAGAAAATATATCCAAAGCTACAGTATACAGTTGTACTTTAGGAAAGGAAGTCAGTCTTATGTTATGTTACTTTATTAAAATGCTTTATTTGCCTTTCTTCTTCTTCACAGTGTTTTTCATAGGATTTTCTTGTGCTCTGTGTTTGGGAGGTGATTTCAAATGGAATTCCCAGGCTTAGCTTTGGAAATTTTACCAGAAATAATAAATAGGGAAAATCTATTTCCCATTTTGGCAGCATAAAAATGAATGTAGTTTAAAAAAACTGATTGGTAGCTGCCTGGGTAAATCCCATATACCAAGTCATCACCTCCTCATCTATGAAACCATGTGATAGTCAATATGTGGTAGATCTTATCATATGGATATTGGAGTTTAATACTAAAACATGTGAGATAAGGTTTGGCAGATCTTAGAATTATTCACATGATTTGTCTTTAGTAAATAATTTGTTATCATGGAGCTAGTAACCAAATATTACATTTGTTTTTTGAAAAAGGTGGATGCTTTTCCATTTCAGGTATGAATGTAAGTCCTTTATACTTTTCTTGCCTCCTATGGACTGAGTTTGGCCAGGCATTGTGGGTGATGCATGCCTGGGATGCCAGCTACTCAGGAGGCCAATGCAGGAGGATTCCATGGTTTACATCAGCCTTGAATGCTTAGGGTCACCATGTCTCAAAAAGTAAAAAAAGGACTACAGATGTTGCTAGTGGTAAACCTGAAAACAGTCCCTAGATTCAATCCCAATCAGAAAACAAAATCCCACTGAGTGTGAATACTTTTACCTATTAAGTAGTGATACTTTCTCATCTAAAACTAAATGAATAAAATTGGGAAGCAGAGAGGTTTGAGTTAATAATCTTAAGCTTACAAAGGAAGGTCCTTGGGACCCATTTTTTTTCATGAGTCCCTTATTTTCCAGATATGGGTTTGAATGGTAGGTTATCATTCCTAAGAAGGAAGCCTAGAGAAGTAGGAGGAAGATGTAGTTGTTTTCCAGGAGTTTCCCAGGTCAGGGGCAGCATTGAATTTTCCTCCCAAACTACTATGGAACATGCAGACTGTTACTTCTCCACTGTTCCAGTATTGTGTTTAACATGTTTAAATCCACTTTGCTTCACTTTCTTATCACAACAGTCAATTTGAACTCTGTTTAAAACATATATGGTGCACATATCCCCCCTATATCAGGAGCCCTCTGTTCTTTCACTTCATCAAAGCCAGGCCAGGCATACGTGACCTGCAGGATTCAAAAGGTTTTCCTTTTGGTAAATGGACATCGGATTGTCTTGGTATCTTAGATTCCCATTGCGGATGTTTCTGGGTCATTAGAAGAAGTGAACCCTGCTTTGTTTTCATTCCATCTGGATGCTCCACTATCCATAAATACACAAAAGTTAATAAAATGCACATTCATTGCCCCAAAGAGCGAAATAAGTCTAAAAGGACAGAATGATTAGAAGAGACTCAATCTCTACAATGCCATGGAAATTCTGCTGAAATACTTACTATGTCATTTAGTTTTGATTTGGCCACAGACATCACAGCAGTGATGATGTGTCCTTTTATATTGATTGATACTTTTTACCAACTTGTTCTATTTGTTCTTCAACTCTTTTAACCTTATTTGCTTGGTATAAATGCTGTCTGCCACATTTCCCCTATAATGTTATATGTCTTTGTCTTTAGGTGTTTTGGTAGGATTTTCTAAATAATCTACATAAACCATCATATTTGATACAAAAACTCTTCTTTCTTAATAATTTTTCTTCATGGCCTGCTTTGGGTAAAGCAGCCTCTGCCTGTCTTTTGCTTAATAGAGACACTGGCTTTATTAACAGAGCTCCTGAAGCAGATCACAATCCCGTAGGCTTTAATTTTATTCTACCTGCAGCTCACAATCATAATCTCATAACATCTTGCATTTTCCATGAAAGAAATAAGAATTATATCTTTCCAAGTGTGTGAAAATTATAATGTCTTCTTCAAAATAAATTTTTAGTAACAGGGACAACATGAAGAGTGTAAAAGATTCAGTAACTATGGCTCTTATTTTATTCCCTATCCTTAAAGGTGTCTATCTCAATGCCTTTTTAAGACAGCATTCATCCAAAATTGATTTATGTTTTAGAACCAGGAATATATGTCATATTTACATTCACATGAAAATTTGTTTTTTCAATGTATAAAGATGACATATCTACTTATGTATACATGAAACATAAATAAATATCATTTGATCAATCTGATCCTGTTTCTATTTAACATTTTTCAATTAGTCCTCTCATTAATAATCACTGTCCTGCTCTGAAAATTCTAACACTAACACTTTATGTTGACTTTAAAGCTCCCCGTGCTTTTTTTTTTTTTAATTACAGGTCAAATAGACTTGGGTAAAAATCGAGCTCTACCATTTACTTGGTGTTTGACAAATTGTCATAAAAGATGAATACCAGTACTACTATCACATTCTTTTGGTTTTCTTCATTAAAACCTGAAAAACTCTTAGTGAGAAGTATATATTTGCAATGATCTGTGAATGATCAAATGGTCAGTGTGCTATTAATTGACCTATTCTTATTTCAGATTGGAATTACTAGATTGGAATTACTGCTACATTTTCAGAAAACCAGGTCATATTTTAGTGAATCTCTGATTCATGGCTGTGCATTTGAAAATTTAGAATTACCCTTCTTACTCACCAGAACATTCTCCTTTGAGAAATAATTGATCTTATGATATATAAAATCACAATTAAAATGTATTTTCTTGTGTTGATGCCTTAATTTTACATTTTATTTTATAAAGTTGGAGTATATAAACTTTTTGTGGACTTATAAGACTCTTTCCTCAGAATTAGAGAATATCACTGTTACAAAGTATTTTCTTGRGTAATTAAAGTCACTTACCTACTTGAGAACCAGTTCTACTAACTCTCATATCATCTTCAGTCAACTTAGAAGCTCTGTGAATGGTCAATTGGTCAGTGTGCTATTAATTTACCTATTCTTGTTTCAGGAACTGTTGACATTCAGGGATGTGGCCATTGATTTCTCTCAAGAGGAATGGGAATGCCTGGAGCCTGCTCAGAGGAATTTATACAGAGATGTGATGCTAGAGACCTATAGAAACCTGGTCTTCCTGGGTAAGCAGAGCTTCCTTTCAGTGATATGGAATGATGTGACCTACATGTCAAAATCCAGTTTCTCCCCTTTATGGTACCAGAATAGAAGCATCAATACTCTCAGTGATAATTCCAACAAATAGTCAGTTCATTTTGAAATGAACACATTGCCTCTAAGCTGTATTTGGACACCCTCCCCTGGTGCAAAGGAAAGAGCCCTGAGCTATGTACCCAGCTGGGCAGAAATTCATGAATCAGAGGACACAATTGAGAGGTCCAAGGCAAGGAGGAAGCCAAATTCAAATGTTGGTGGAAAAGTTATTATGCCATAGAAATGGTCTTCCAGGAGCTTAGGTTTATTTCTCGTGCTGTCCTAGAAGGACACATACTGCCCTATGTTGAACGTGGTTTCCTTTTTAGTCTCCTCCTTCTCCTCCATGGATGTCTGTGTTGAGTCAAATCAACAGCCCAAGCACTCCCCTTTGCTTGTGAGGTCAGCATGATCTGATGGCATTTTCATCATTTGATGTGTCTSTCAGAAATCTATGCACAGTTCTGGAGACCTCGAGGTGAATCCATTTTAATATATTAGTATCATACAGCAGTGTATCTGATATCACTTAAGTATTTATTAATTAAAATTCCCATATCAAAACTCATTATGAATACTTATAAAGAATATTCTGTGGATTTTTTCTGCCATAGAGTGAATGTCAGTGATTCACAGTGGCTGTTCATTTTGGTTATATGGTCACAGGGGATAACTACAATTATATAAAAGGGTTTGCAAAATAATCCATCCATGGTTATTCAGAATTTTGTTGGTTAAATTTTTTTTCTTTTTTTCTTTGCTATAGTTCATTTTATAGGTTAGATTTCAAGTTATAGTATAGATTTCCTCACAACAGTTAATGTTTCCAATTTTTTTTAAACCTACATTTTATAGTTCGATGGCCATCTCCAATATTTCACAAATTAGGGCAGTGTAAGATGAAATTAAGTTATGCCTGATTCTTGTTTCCATTGTCAATACAATTATATTTGCTTCTGTTATTTTATTTTATTTTTGTTTCTATTGCCAGTAAAATTACATTTGAGATAAAATATATTGTATCTCAAAAGTTTTTGTTTTAAAGTATGTTACACATAAAGTATGTTATTTCTGGTCACTTTTGTGTGTACTATTCATATACACCTTTGCCTTCACATTGCATCTTTAGATTTAGTCTCTGGTAATCTGCATACAGTTGTCATTTTTTAAATAAGTTTCCTCTGCTTCTTTTAATTCTTTTCCCTTCTTTTTAAATTGGGTTATCTTGTGGTTCATGAATTGTTATCATGACATTATATGATTCCTCTTTCACTTCCCTTAATTCTATGAGTATTTTGTCATTTGCTTTGATATTTTACAAAAATAATTTTAAGCTTACAGTAGGTTTTTAACTGGCAACAAATTAACTTCAATTTCATAACAAAATTCAGTATATTTATGTATCCTTTGAAAATTATGTTATTGATGGCACAGTTATTTTTATGTTCCATACATATTTAGAATTTATGATGATTTTTATGTTTTTATATTTCAAACTCTATTGAAAAAGTAAGTGTTTTATGACCCATCATTCCCATAAAATTAAATTCTATATTGGAATATGAATTTTGTAGTACCTACCATGAAAGCTTTAAAATTTCATATGACTTGTGTTGCTGTGCACATTTATTTTATTTTTCAAATGGGATGATTCACTTTAGTATTTTTTGAAGGAGAGGTCAAGTAGTTATAAATGGCTGCATTTACACATATTTAAATCTTTATTTTTACTCACATGAAAATATAGTATTTCTTTTTTAAAATATTTTATCTTGTAGTTATAGTTGGATACAATACCTTTATTTTGTTTATTTTTATGTGGTGCTCAAGACCAAACCCAGGGCCTCATATGTGCTAGGTGAGCACTCTACCACTGAGCCACAACCCCAGCCCAACATGAAAATATAGTATTTCTGATTATAGTATTATCAGTTGGTAATTTTGTTGTTTTCCCTTTTAATGCTATTCCTCAGTTCCTTTCTGTATTGCAAGGTTTCCATTTCATCTCACTCCAGTCAGAATGGCAGCTATTAAGAATACAAACAACAGTAAGTGCTGGTGAGGATGTGGGGGAAAAGGCACACTCATACACTGCTGGTGGGACTGCAAAATGGTGCAGCCAATACGGAAAGCAGTGTGGAGATTCCTTGGAAAACTGGGAATGGAACCACCTTTTGACCCAGCTATCCCATTCCTTGGTCTAGGTCCAAAGGACTTAAAAACAGCATACTACACAATTCACAATAGCTAAACTGTGGAAGCAACCTAGATGCCCTTCAGTAGATGAATGGATAAAGAAAATGTGGTAAATATACACAATAGTATATTAATCAGCAATAAAAGAGAATAAAATCATGGCATTTGCAGGTAAATGGATGGAGTTGAAGAATATACTACTGTGTGAAATTAGCCAATCCCAAAAAAACAAATGCCAAATGTTTTCTCTGATATRAGACACTGATTCATAGTAAGGTTGGGAGGGGGGACATGGGAAGATTAGAAAAACCATGGGACAAAGAGGAGGGAGAGGAAGGGAGGGGACAAGGGTGTAGGAAAGATGTTGGAATGAGATGGACATCTTTACTCTAAGTACATGTACAAAGACATGGATGGTGTGAATATACTTTGTATATAACCAGAAATATGAAAAATTGTGCTTTATGTGCCGTAGTCTGGCTGGGCACGAATCACGAGCCACTCAAGCAGGAACAAACTTTATTTCTGAACTCTCTGGAAAGCCACCCACTCGGCCTTCTCCARGACACACCACACACAAACCGGAACTCCCTCCACTGGAACTTCACCAACCAAGGGAACTCTCCAGGAATCCCCGAGAGAGCTCAACCGGAACTCAAAGGGAACTCCGTGAGAACTCAAAAGTACTGGCAAAATGCTAGGCGCCATCCCAACTCGGCTGTGGCTCTCAACATTTATGTATAATATGAACTATAATGCATTCTGTTTTCATATATAACAAATTAGAATAAAAAATTTTTAAAAAAGAAATTGACTATTGACTATATTGAAATTATATTCAAGTACCCTTTTTAGTTACACAGTTTTCTTTTGGTTCTCTCAAGATTCTCTGTTTGTGAATGTTGAAAAATTAAGTGCAATGCACTTTGAGTCTTTTTGTTTTTTTTTTCTACTTAGGAATAATTGAACTTCTTTGATTTTGATTTATTTTTTTTGCTCATATTTATCATTTCTCAGGCTGTTAAAATTGATTCTGGAGATTGAACTCAGTTGCTTTTTCACTGCCCTTTGCCTTTTTCATTTTTAATTTCTGACAGTCTCACTAAGTTGCTGAGGCTGGCCTCAAACTTGTGATCTTTCTGCCTCAGCCTCCCAAGTTGCTAGGATTACAGTTGTGTACAAACCCTCCCCCACCACTCTCTCAGACACTATTTCTTAAGAAAGTCTTCAAGTACACTAGTTTTGCTTGTTTGTAGTAATAATTTTTGTCTGGATTTTATTCAGTTTTCTGTGTTCTGGTTTAGTTCACTAGACTTATATACTGCATGCCAAATCATGGCATTTGCAGGTAAATGGATGGAGTTGAAGAATATACTGTATTTGAACTTGGGATCTCTTTTATTGCTGAGTAATATACTATTGTGTATATTTAGCACATTTTCTTTATCCATTCATCTAATGAAGGGCATCTAGGTTGGTTCCACAGTTTAGCTATTGTGAATTGTGTAGTATGCTGTAGTATAAGTAATATAAGTCKAGTGAACTAAAGATTATTTAGGTTCCTTGTGTAATTCATAATTCCTACATTCCCAATGTTCAATTCCTGTGTTTCATTTTACCCCTGATTAATCAAGTGTTCATTTTTCTTTGCATACCATATTATTTTTGATCTGTCCATATAAAAGCCAGCCTAGAGTAGATTAATAGTCATTTTGGAAAACAATATGGATGTTAGTAAAGAACTGAAAAACAGGAAGCACTGTGCCACATGCTTGAAATTCCAGGTAATTGGGAGGACTTGCAAGAGGCGTGTCACACCATGTCTCAAAATAAACAATTTTAAAGGGGTTTGTGTTGTAAGTCAGTGCTTCAACACTCTTGGGCTTAATCTTAAGCACCACATATAAAAAGTTAGGAGTAGAATGCCCCTGTGATCCAGAAAAGCAAGTTCTAAACAGGTAACCAGAAGAGATTAAGTCAGCATGTTGCAGAGAGAGCTCCACTACTGCTTCAGTGAAACACTGTTCACAGTACTCAAGACATGGACTCCACCTATGTGCCCATCTGGGGTTGGATGGGTAAAAAATATGATATTTATACACAATGAATTAATAATAGAAAAGAGATATCTTGTCAAGTGAAGTGACATGGGATAAATATGCAGGGCTTTGCATTACRTGAAATAAGGAAGTCACAGAAAGTAATTTGCAGCCTCTTCTGACTCACATGTGGAACTCACAAGTGCAGAGAGTAAAATGGTTACTAGCTCCTGTGTATTAGGAGTGTTGGTCAAAGACTGAAATACATTATTTTAAAGGACATAAGAAATATTGATCCCAGAAACACTTAAATATTGAGCCACATCCCAAGCCCTTTTATTATTTTTTATTTTGTTACAGGGTCTCACTAAGTTACTTACAGCCTCAGTAATTTGCTGAGGCTGTATTTGAACTTGGATCCTCCTGCCTCAGTCTCCTGAGTTGTGAGGATTCACGCTTGTACCACCACACTGGCTAATGTACTGAATTCTTGATGAATGCTAAGAGAATGAATGCAATGTTTTCTAAGTAGTAAAATGATGATTATATAAAATAACAAAATGTTTTTTAGCTAGATTTAGTCATTTCACCATGTATTTATATTTTCAAATACCATGAAATACTTGGTAAATACATGCCATTTTATTTGTCAATGAAATGAATCCATGAATAACCAAAATTATAAAACTTAAAAAGCAAGTCATTTGTCTTGGTCTCCATGTGTTGACTTCATCCAGATAATACTGACACAGGGTGTGTTGTGTGTGTGTGTGTTTATCATTAAAAAGATTAGCCCATTTTTCTCTTTAGACAACATAGGTTCTTTGTCCCTGTAGAATATCTGTGTTATGGTCATTCAAAATCTGTTATAGACAGGTCTTTCTCATGGTAGACCAACAGTGGTTTTCAGACAATCCCCAAGAAAACCAGAAATGTTCACATTTTACATTTTCCTTTTCCTATTGAGAGAGAAGAAGGGAGTTGGTAGCTTTTCCCTAATTGTACAATGGTGCATTCTAGAGGAGGAAGGCCAGGAGTGGATAAAAATAACACACTTTCCTTTCCTCTGTTATATTACTCTTTAACTATATACTCCTCTTGGACACTGTGAATTCTCAGATGATTTGGATAATTCTCACAAAGTAAATTTGTCTGTCCATTGTTATTCAGCTCATATATTTATGGAGTAATTATGGTCTTTGGTGTGCTATTCTGCCACCACATTGATGTCCTGACAGCTATAATTTCATGTTATATTTTTAAAGTATATTCTCAGTCTAATATGTAAAATAATTATTATTTTCATTTTTTTTTAGGCATGACTTCTCATCATACCCAGGAAATTTTACCAGAACCCATCAGGGAACATTTATTTAAAAAAGCGATAAAGAGAAGATATGGAAATTGTGACCTTGACTATTTACAACAAAAGAAAATACAGAACAGTGTAGATAACAGTGAAGGTCAGAAATCATATTATGAAGGACAAGACCAATTAATAGTGACTGTCCTTAATACCATCAATAGTCCTCAAGAACATTTAATAGCTCAGAAGAGTATTCAATTTATAACTGAAGGACAAGTTTCTCAAAGTGTTGATTTTGAAAATTTCTTTACAAACTGTCCATTATTCTGCAGTGAACAAAGAATTCCTTCTTGGGCCCAAACATACACTTTTAATGATGGTGGAAAGGCCCCTATATACTCCATACTTCTTAACCAAAATTCAGATTTAGATTTCAGCAAAGTGTGCAACACATGTAATGAAACAAGCAACACTTTCAGCCAGGTCTCTACACTAAGCAATTACCAGTGTCCTTATGTTGGAGAAAAAAAGTATGAATGTAGCAAAACACAGAAGAACTCTAGCTTTGGTTGCAATAAAGGAGAACATCAGTGTGGCCATTGTGCACAGAACCTTTACAGAGATGACAAATGTGGGAAAATCCTTCTTCAGTGCTCAAAGCACCATGGGAGTACTCAGAGCCAAGAGGCACCTTGCAAATGTGAGGAATGTGAGAGAGCTTCTCACTCAACTGCAAGCCTTCCTCAATACAGTGGAGCTCATCCTGGAAAGGAGCCCCCCAAATTTAAGGGATGTATTCAAGCAGGGAGTTCCACACCACTTTCTAAACATCACAGGTACCATAGTGATCAACACTACAAATGTGAAGAATGTGGCAAATCCTTTAATAATTGCTCAACCATTTCTAAACACCTGAGATGGCATAGCAGTGAGAAACCCTACAAATGTCAAGAATGTGAAAAAAAATTTAAGAATTTTTCAACTCTTACTCAACAACAAAGGATTCATATGGGAGAAAAGCCCCACATATGTGAAGAATGTGGCAAAGGTTTTACTAAAAGAAGACAACTTACTCAACACCAGAGAATTCATAGTGGAGAGAAGCCCTATAAATGTGAAATTTGTGGCAAAGCTTTTAATAAAAGATCACATGTTACTCAACACCAGAGTACTCATACTGGAGAGAAACCCTACAAATGTGAAGAATGTGGGAAAGGATTTACTCAAAGAGCATATTTTACTCTACACTACAGTATTCATACTGGAGAGAAGCCCTACAAATGTAAAGAATGTGGGAAAGGATATACTCAAAGAGCAGGCCTTACTCAACACCAAAGAATTCATAGTGGAGAGAAGCCCTACAAATGTGAAGAATGTGGGAAAGGATTTACTCAAAGACCAAGCCTTATTCGACACCAGAGTATTCATACTGTAGAGAAGCCCTACAAATGTCATAAATGTGGGAAAGAATTTACTCAAAGAGTACATCTTACTCTACACCACAGTATTCATACTGGAGAGAAGCCCTACAAATGTAAGGAATGTAGCAAAGCTTTTAGGTGTAATTCATTGCTTACACGACACCAGATAATTCATACTGGAGAGAAGCCCTACAAATGTAAAGAATGTGGGAGAGGATATACTCAAAGAGCACACCTTACTCAACATCAGAGAATTCATACCGGAGAGAAACCCTACAAATGTGAAGAATGTGGGAAAGGATTTACTCAAAGACCAAGCCTGACTCTACACCAGAGTACTCATATGGTAGAGAAGCCCTATAAATGTGAAGAATGTGGGAAAGGATTTATTCAAAGAGCCAACCTCACTCTACACCAGCGTATTCATACTATAGAGAAGCCCTACAAATGTAAGGAATGTGGCAAAGCTTTTAGGTGTAATTCATTGCTTTCTCGACACCAGAAAATCCATACTGGAGAGAAGCCCTATAAATGTAAAGAATGTGGGAAGGGTTTTATTCAAAGTTCACACCTTACTCAACACCAGAAAATTCACACTGGAGAGAAGCCTTACAAATGTGAAGAATGTGGGAAAGGATTTATTCGAAGAGCAGATGTTACTCGACACCAGAGTATTCATACTGTAGTGAAGCCCTACAAATGTAATAAATGTGGGAAAGCTTTTAGGTATAAATCAAGCCTTACCCAGCACCAGAGAATTCATAATGCAGAGATTCAATGTTAAGAATGTGGGAAAGGTTTTAATCAAAGAGTATGGCTTATTCTTCACCAGACTAATCATAACAGGGAGAGGTAATGCAAATGTAAAAACTGTTGCACACCTTTTAGCAATTGCTCAGGCTTATCACTGGAGAATTCATAGTGTATAGAAACCCTAACAATGTAAATACTGTGCCCAAGTCTTTACTCAAATTTCAAATTTTCCTTAACATCAGAAACCTGATACCTATAGGGGATGTGGAAAGACATTTGCCTGAAATATATGCCTTAAAAATAGCAAAATATCAACAGTGAAGAAAACACCTTAAGGAATATAAAAAAATATAGCAAAGCTCTTATCTGTACCTTGATTCTTGATGTATGTGAGAGGGAAATGAGGAATTGCCTTTAACTTTTGCTTAAAATTTGTTAAGCATCCTTACCTGCTGGGGTAGAAATAAAGAAATTCTCACAAGTATCATAAAATAGTGTAGAACTCTTGTCTCTGGAAGGAGGTAAATTTATTGTAAATCAAAGATTTCTCAATATTTTCACTTTTGAAAACTGGAGGAAACAATTGTAACTTAGATTCATTTATCAGAAGATGACTTGTTCCTGAGAGTTGTCAATCTATAATTTCAACTGTTTACAGTGGATTTTGAAATACTTTATTCACATTATTATGAATTTTGTCACAAAATAAAAGTAAAATTTGTTAATGTATTAGTATTGTTAGGTATTTACTCGTGGTAGTATGTCACTGGTATTACAGTGTTCTTCTTTACTAAAAGTTCTGTGCAACAGATAGTAAAAACATATGTTATAGTTAAAGCTTCATCCCGGGGTTTCATAAACTGACTTCCAGACCACTCACATATAGTCAAATCAAGCCTTTATTGAAGCACACCGGTGGCCGCTGACCAGAACTTAAAGCTATTCCCCTGATCAGCCCSAACAATTGCAAGGGCCCTCCTTATAAGCCTGAAAACCGCAAAAGGGATGTTTGGGGGTCTAGCCAAGGCAAGCAAGCCAGGTTACAGAGGCGGGAGAGTACAGTCAAGCGGCTGGAAACCTAACAAATCTCAGTTAGCCCAGTCACTCCAGTTACAGAAACAGCTCCGTTACCCTAGTTACAGAACAATGCCCCATTAGGTAATTCCCTTTTCTTAAAGGTTTCTATAGTAAAAGGAAAAAGAACATTTTGCCCTGGTCATGACCCTTCTACTTGGCATGGTTGTTTTACAGGATGAAGTCATAAAACAAAATGGAGTCACATTTGCTTCTACTATCATGCATACTAAAAAGTGTCCATTAATCTTTTTAGAAACATCAACTCATTTGGAGAATAGTATTCCCCCAAATCAGAATACTAATTATGTATTATGGTGATCTTAAGACAGTTATAGATAAGATATAAGAACAGGAAAATAAACCCCAAATTTCTCTATCTTGAATTGGTACTTTCAAATTTTACCCTACAGGGGCTGGGAACAGCGGCACATACCTTTAATCCCAGCAACTGAAGAGGCTAATGCAGGAACATCCCAAGTTTAAAGCCAGCCTCAGCAACTTAGTGAGACCCCAAGCAACTTAGTGAGACCCTGTCTCAAAATTAAAAACCAAAAAGACCTAGGAATGTGGCTCAGTCTTTAAGCATTCCTGGATTCAATCCCTGGTACCAAAATAATAATAATTTTTTTAACCTTATAGAATAAGAGTAGTCCTAAGGGCTCTTCAATTTTGGAGAGCAACACAGCTTTCCAACATAGGGATTTTAAATGCCCCAGAAATTAGGAGCCACCAGTGCGTATTTTGTAAAAAGAAGGGCCATTGGAAGAAATATTCCTAATGGTTGCCCAGGAGGCCATGTGGACAGCTGGACACTGGCCCATCCTGGCTCCTGGTATGTTGGTAGAAAACAACTAAAATACTGAGGAAGCCAAGGAGTTCCTCAGGAAGACCCCTCTGAGGGTCTCGACTCACATAGAAAAATTTAGAAAACTATTTTTGCCCGTTATTAAATACCTATTTACCCTTGGACAACCAGCAGGGAACTATAACCAGAAACAAGTACCCAATAATGGGGGGAAAAGAAAAAGAGCCATACTAACAGAGCATCTAAACTCCCACATGATCATATATCATTTCACTTTGGCTACTTTTTATTTGACTCTAAAATTTATCATAGTAATTATACATCGGGGATCAAAGGATAGAGAGTACATGGCACAGGCTGACACTGAGACCTGATGAAGTATCCAGATTACATCTGTCCCTTTTTAGGCTTACAGGAACAGGAGCACATGTCATTACAAAGAAGAAAACAAAGGTCTTGTTTAGATGAGCCACTGGAGTATATATAAGTCATGTTCAAAAGCTAATCACAGGGCTGGGGATGTGGCTCAAGCGGTAGCGCGCTCGCCGGGCATGCTTGCGTCCGGGTTCGATCCTCAGCATCACTTACAAACAAAGATGTTGTGTCCACCGAAAACTAAAAAATAAATATTAAAATTCTCTCTCTCTCTCTTAAAAACAAAGCAAAAAACAAACAAACAAACCACAGCTGGGAATGGTGGTACATGCCTGTAATCCCAGCAGCTCAAGAGGCTAAGGCAAGAAGATCTCAAGTTTACAGCCAGCCCCAGCAATTTAATGAGGCCCTAAGCAAATTAGTGAGATCCTGTCTCTAAATAAAATACGAAAATGGGCTGGGGATGTGGCTCAGTAGTTAAGCAACCCTGGGTTCAATCCTTGATACCAAAAAACAAAATAAAACAAAAAACTAAACACAAAATAAAACATATTACCTTACATTTTTTCTTTGTGTTAGCCCTTTGGGTCAATGGAACAGCAGGGAGTTTGGGGATATACTTCCCAAACTACATATGCTTCATTGGTGATTTCATATAGGTCACACTGATAATAGGACAGATGAGGCCTGAGTCCCAAGGAATTTGCAAGATGCAGGTTGTTGATTAGCTTTAGTGGTCCAGAGCAACTAAGGCTGGAAAATCTCTGATCCAGGGTTGACAAATCCTTTGAGATTCAGTGGGTGTTTACATGACAGTGGGTGGTTACATAGCAGTAAGTCTTTGTCCCATATTTTCGAGACAGACAGGTTTCACAGGTTTTTCCAAGGAAAACATTATTTGTTTGTATAGCAAGCTCTCTTGAGACAGGGTCTGTTACAACATTCCTCTGCAAACCTGGCATTTACAAGAAAGATGAAGCTTTTGGGGTTACATTAGCACTTTGATAATAATCTGGATAATATTCAGGATATATTGGTTTATGTCATTACAATCAATTTCACCTGTTTTAATTTTTTAATGTGAATATTAGGAAATTTTAAGTGACCCTTGTGCTTCACATAGGATTTTCATTGGCCATTGCTGCCTTAGGGGATTGCTTCCCAGGCCAAGCTGCAGACTCACACGAAGGGAGAGCAGGAAAGTTAAATGAACTTGCACAGTAATTGTCATGATATTATTTCCACTCGTGAATATTATGCAGACATATAATTCATAAGGTGAAGTCACCTTGTATGCGAGGTTCATCGCACATGTCCTCTGGCAGTGCTAGATCACTCTTTTAAGAGGAAACTTTGCCTTTGATTAGCTGTAGCCTGAGGCCCTCTTGTCCAATTCGCAGATCTCCAGGAAAAGTAAAAGCTGTCACCAGGAACCTGTCATTCTGGCCTCACTGATTCCTAGGGCTCTCTGGGCTCAGCCTGCGGGGCGGGTCTGCAGCCTTGTGCAGCGGAGAGCACTCGGGGAGAACCGTCCAATCTCGGCACAGCCAGCGAGGACAGGGCGGCTTCCGCGATCTGGCAGGGCCCTTTCCTTCTGAGCCGCCCTTTTCGCGATCTGGCTCATCTCACTGGCTTTGCCCTGCAGGTGCTGAAGATCCCTGGTGGCCGCCTGGCTCCCAAGCGCCAGGAAATGGTGAGTGGGGCGGGGCCTCTTGAGCCCKGGGAGGGAGGTCGTTGGAACCGCGGGACTGGCTGCGGTGACACCAGGAGCTGCTGGAGGCTCCGGGGTCCGCGGCCTGAGCCCTCCTCCTGGCAGCGTCCCCTCAGTTCCCCTGGCCAGCAGGTGGGGAGCGTGCGGGCAGCGGAGCTCCTGCCCAACCTGCTGCACCCCTCAGCTAGCCCTAGAGAGTCAGCAGCCCCGTCTTCCCAGGTGGGTGGTGATTGACAGTTGGACGGTGGTCTGAGAAGTCTCTCCAAGTGGGATTTTCCTGCAGGAGAGGAGCAGTGGCTCTGGGCCTCGCTGCCGCCGTCCTCCGGAGCTAGCTGGCTTTCTTGCTTTTTCTCCCTCCTTCCCAACCTTCCTTCCGCAGGGTGCTTTACCAGGAGCTCCATCCCTGATTCTGATGTAGGGCGGAGGGGGCGGCACCTGAGGAATTCGCGGGCAGCAGGTTTACTTAAGTCGCAGCGGTGCAGAGGGAGCAATGCGGGGACCCTGGTAGGGAACTTCTCTGAGATTTATAGTCAGTGCGTGGTTACAGGGCAGCTACTCCTTATCCCATATTTGTAGGTGACACAGGTTGTTACCAAGGGAAACAAAAGCGAAGCTTCTGTTCAGCAAGCTCCCTGAGACAGTCTGTGACACCTGTCTGCAAACTTGGCTTTTACAAGAAAGAGCAAGCTCAACCCACAGTGAGCGCTCTGGAGGAAAAATACTACTGACATTCTTTGTAACAATCCTGCTGACAAGAAGAGAAGCTTAATTTTGCTAGTGGTTGTTTTGGAGCTACGTGAGTACTTTTTATTTTTATTTTGAGACAGGGTGTAGCTAAGTTGCTGAGAATGGCCTACGTATGGTCGGATTTATACAGATATTTCTATTGAACTTAAGAATACAAATTTCAGCCAGGTGAGGTGGGGTGGTGCATACCTACAATCCCAGCGGCCCTGGAGGCTGAGACTGGAGGATTGGGAGTTCAAAGCCAGCCTCAGAAACTTAACGAGGCCCTAAGCAACTCAGTGAGATCCTATCTTTAAATAGAATACAAAAAAAAAAAAAAAAGGCTGGAGATGTGGCTCAGTGGTTAATCGCCCCTGCGTTTAATCATATATATATTCATCTGTATATTTTGTTTATACTCTGATTCTTTGATCATTATGGAAATATTATAGTTTCATAATATACACTACCTAATAATGAAAGCTACTTCTTTTGCTCTTATAATTAAAAGGTATCTTGGCTAAGTTAACATATATTAAACCTTGTGGATAAATTTTATAGACTAATTCTTGGTTCCTTATTCCATTAAAAATAAAGAATTCTGGGGCTGGGGTTGTGGAACAAGTGGTAGTGTGCTCACCTAGCACGTGTGAGGCACTGGGTTTGATTCTCAGCACCACGTAAGAATAAAATAAAGATTATTGTGTCCTAAAACTAAACAATAAATATAAAAAATAAATAATTCTGAATTTTTTATTAGTACATTATAGACATATATTGTGTTGGGATTCATTAGACATAATCATACAAGCATGAGTATAATTTGCTTCATTTCAGTGGTATTTTCCCTTTCCCTTTCCTCCTAGCTTCCCATTCCCCCTCCTCTCCTGGTCTTCCTTCTATTTATTTATAGTTTTAAACTACTGCTTTATAGATAAACAAAGAGGTGAAATTCA